CGGTGGCTCACGCCTGTAATCCCAGCACTTTGGGAGGCCGAGGCGGGTGGATCACGAGGTCAAGAGATCGAGACCATCCTGGTCAACACGGTGAAACCCCGTCTCTACTAAAAATACAAAAAATTAGCTGGGCATGGTGGCGCGTGCCTGTAATCCCAGCTACTCAGGAGGCTGAGGCAGGAGAATTGCCTGAACCCAGGAGGCGGAGGTTGCGGTGAGCTGAGATCGCGCCATTGCACTCCAGCCTGGGTAACAAGAGCGAAACTCTGTCTCAAACAAACAAACAAACAAAAAACAGGCTCATCCTTGAACCTGGACACATGATTCAGTTCTGGCGTGCACTGACTTAATGCTTTCATGACCCTGTGTCTTGTTTTTTGTTTGTTTGTTTGTTTGAGACAGAGTTTCGCTCTTGTTACCCAGGCTGGAGTGCAATGGCGCGATCTCAGCTCACCGCAACCTCCGCCTCCTGGGTTCAGGCAATTCTCCTGCCTCAGCCTCCTGAGTAGCTGGGCTTACAGGCACGCGCCACCATGCCCAGCTAATGTTTTGTATTTTTAGTAGAGACGGGGTTTCACCATGTTGACCAGGATGGTCTCGATTTCTTGACCTCGTGATCCACCCGCCTCGGCCTCCCAAAGTGCTGGGATTACAGGCTTGAGCCACCGCGCCCGGCCAAATTTTTTTTTTTTTTTTGGAGACAGAGTCTTGCTCTGTCACCCAGGCTGGAGTGCAGTGGTGTAATCATGGCTCACTGCAGCCTGAACCTCCTGGGCTCAAGTAATCCTCCTGCCTCAGCCTCCCAAGTAGCTGAGTCTACAGGCATGTGCCACCATGCCTGGCAAATTAAAAAATATATATTTTTGAGAGACTGGCACTTACTATGTTGCTCAGGCTGGTCTTGAAACCTTGACCTCAAGCAATCCTCCCACCTGGGCCTCTCAAAGTTTTGGGATTATAGGCATGAGCCATAAATGCATTTATTCAGCACCTGATGTATGCCAGGCATCGTGCTCAATGCTCTATATGGATGCACTGATTTCATCCTTACGAGGACCCTGTGACATGGGAGCTGTCATCCCGTTTTCCTTATGTTTCCTTCCAGACTAGACAGCAGTGGTCCTGGAGAGTCCCAAGCGGCCGGCACAGGCTCAGCTCTCTCCCTCTACACCCAGAAAGCACCACTAACTGTCTTCTTTTTGTCCCACCTGTACATACACCTGACATACACCATACACCTGACCCACCCTCTCTTTCCCCAGGACTCCCAGGAGCACAAGATCTCCCTGTTTGAAGGAGCTAACTTCAAGGGCAACACCACAGAGATCCAGGGGGATGATGCGCCCAGTCTCTGGGTCCACGGCTTCAGTGACCGCGTGGGCAGCGTGAAGGTCTCCAGCGGAACGTAAGCATCGCTCCTGCCAGGCCCACATCCCCCGCCTCAAGCACAGGCAGAATCAGAGGCTGCTCCCCTGATAGGTTATAACATCAGATTCCTAGAGAGGGCCACAGCCCCTCCCTCCCACAGTCTCCCCGTGCAGGTTCCTGGGCTTCAGCCAATAGAGATTTATTCCTCTGGGGAATAGAGTCAGACTTTGAGAAATCCCAGGTCAGTGTAAACAAATCAGGCAATTAGCTCTAAAAGGCTGTTAGATGGAGAAAACAGGAGCTGCTAAACCTAATTGGTGCTGAAGGACTAATTCACTAAAAGGGTCAGAGCTGATGTGGATGGATGAGGCTGGATGCATGCAGGGACAGGACAGATGTGTGGGGAGATCGGGAGCTCCTAGGACAATGAGCAGAATGAGTTCTGAGCAGTGAATTTGCATCATGGGGTGCCCCTGACCCTGCAACTGACATGCTGAGGAACTTGAGTGAGCCTGAAAACCTCTCTGTCTCTCAGTCTTGCCAGCTAGGCAATGGGCACACAGAACTCCCTGATCTAAGAGGACCCTTTCTGCTCCCAATTCTCGGGATCTGGAGCTACCAAAACAGAGCCCCATGACCTAATGGCATGAGAATACATGGAAGGGCTGGATCAAAGGAGTCACTTTATCCATCCCCCTGCCTCCAAATGACCATGCCAGACATCCCTGATCTCCTCCAGGTAAATGTAAGGCTCTGCCTCTCCATTCCCAGACTTGTTCTAAGCTCCTGTAACACCATCAGGGCCATGGCCTTTTTCTTGTTCCTTTCTACCTCCCTGAAACCTACATTCCTGCCATTCAAGCCATCTGAAATATATTGAGCTTTGTCTTCAAGCCAGGCATTGTGCTACCAACACTGGGGAAAATAGCAATGAATACAGCCAGGCTCCCACAGCCAGGTTCCTACCTTCAAGGAACTTATTTGGCCTAGTAGGGGAAAGTCAGATATACCTGTGAGATGGTGTCCAACAATGCTAAGTAAGGGATGGGCCAGCCAGGGCAATCGTGTTGCAGGAGATCAGAGGAGGATAGCAGGTTTCTAGGATGGCTGTGGATGTTAGGGTGGAGGGCAGGTCAAAGGTTTATCTGAAAAGGCTGGGATTTAAACCAGGTTTTCAAATATAGGGAGGGGGTCTGGGAGAGCCCTGGAAACACTCTCTCAGCAAAAACAATGAGAGATGTTACAAATTAATCGCTGATGATAACTTCTGTTGAGTGCTTACTATGTATCAAGCACTGTGCTTAACCTCTTTAGATAAATAATTATTAAACCTTTATAACAAACCAAGGAGGTAGGTGCATTATCATCGCCATTTTACAGACAGTACGTTGAGGTTCTGATACGTCACCTACCCAGATTCTCACAGCTTAGTAAATTGATGGCAGAGCTAGGATTTGAACCCAGGTATGTTTTATACCAGAGTGTGTGTTCTCAACTGCTACACACAGATTCACTTACCTACAAAGGAAACCAATTTTTTGAAATAACACTTCCTGTCTTTCATTTGCTTCATCGATAACCAGCCCCCCAGTACCTATTTTTGCTTCTTTTGATTGTGTTCTCTGAGCCCTGCAACGTCACATTCAATGAGATGTGTATTAACATTCCTACCAAGCACAGCCAACACGCTTAGCAAACACTCAAGGTGCATTTTCCATCTGGTCCTCTCCAACACTCTTAAAACCAGGCAAGCCGGGCGCGGTGGCTCACGCCTGTAATCCCAGCACTTTGGGAGGCCGAGGCGGGTGGATCACGAGGTCAAGAGATCGAGACCATGCTGGTCAGCACGGTGAAACCCCGTCTCTACTAAAAATACAAAAAATCAGCTGGGCATGGTGGCGTGTGCCTATAATCCCAGCTACTCAGGAGGCTGAGGCAGGAGAATTGCCTGAACCCAGGAGGCGGAGATTGCGGTGAGCCGAGATCGCGCCGTTGCACTCCAGCCTGGGCAACAAGAGCGAAACTCCGTCTTAAAAAAAAAAAAAAAACAGGCAATGTGGCCACGCTCACTTCCTAGAAAAGGAAACTGAGGCAACATCCCTGCCCCAAGGCAGCTGGGTACAGTGGCTCACACCTGTAATCTCAGCACTTTGGGAGGCTGAGGCGGGTGGATCATGAGGTCAGGAGTTCGAGACCAGCCTGGCCAACATGGCAAAACCCCGTCTCTACTAAAAGTACAAAAAAAAAAATTAGCCAGGCATGGTGGTGGGCACCTGTAATCCCAGCTACTAGGGAGGCTGAGGCAGGAGAATCTCTTGAACTCAGGAGGCAGGAGTTGCAGTGAGCCGAGATCACGCCATTGCACTCCAGCCTGGGTGATGAGAGCAAGACTCCATCCCAAAAAACAAAAAATAAAAATAACCCACAAAAACTCACTCCACAACAACAACAAAAACCCATGTTTGGGTGCGGTGGTTCACACCAGTAATCCCAGCACTTTGGGAGGCCGCGGCAGTAGATCACCTGAGGTCAGAAATTCGAGACCAACCTGATCAACATGGTGAAACCCCCATCTGTACTAAAATACAAAAAAATTAGCCGGGCGTGGTGGCGGGAGCCTGTAGCCCAGCTACTTGGGAGGCTGAGGCAGGATAATTCCTTGAACATGAGTGGCGGAGGTTGCGGTGAGCCAAGATTGCACCATTGGACTCCAGCCTGGGCAACAAGAGCGAAACTCTGTCTCAGAAAAACCCCCCAAATAAACAGAAACCCCTTGCCCAGGGCACAGAGCAGCAAGGGATAGAGCCAGGACCAAGAGGGAGGATAGAGAGCAGACAGCAGGAAGCAGTGAAGGACAGGCTGGTCTGGCCGGGGTCTGGGTGCCAGGCAATGAGGCTGGCAGTCTCCATTCTGCCCTTCTCGCTTTCTTCTCAGATGGGTTGGCTATCAATATCCCGGCTACCGCGGGTACCAGTACCTCCTGGAGCCCGGCGACTTCCGGCACTG